AAATAGTCTCTCTTGGGAACAGTTCAAGTATCTGCTGCTCCCAAAGCTTTAGCAGTGTTTTGTTTAAAAATGTATTAAAAAAATTGCCAACAAATAATCTAAGTGCTGTTATATCGAAGCTCCAGGTGTCAGACACAATGGCAGTGTTACAATCCCGTTTCTTAATAAGTCTAATGCTGTGATGTGGGGAGAACATACTGAGGGAGAAATGTGTAGTTGGTAGTATATTTGGATCGGAATAACTCATATGTATTGACCCGTGTTCACTACCGGGGGTAGGTCTGCACCACTGTGTGACCTTTGACCTTTCTGACCTCAACACATCAGGTTCAAATGGCTTTTATTTAAAAAATATTCTGAAGTTATGAATCAAAGGAGTTCTGCAGTGTCCCTGAGAAGCATTGAGCCTGTTTGGCCCTATTTGGTGAGTGAGTGACGGGTGGAGGCCTCCGTCAGTCTACCAACAGATCCCCTATCAGATCCACTATCTTCTCCCATCACTCTTCAGCCACTGCAACCAAGAGCCAGCACTCATGTAGCCTGCTGCTGTCAGACTGCACGCCAAATATTCCAGATCTTAATGCTCAGCCCTTTTTTCACAGTGAAGAATGAAGACTTAAAACACATTCAGTTTAAAAACCAATCAAGAGGTGTTGTTCCCCATGTTTACCCCTTAGCTTATAAAGAGAGTGAGCAGGGACGCCCTACTACAGCTGTGTTAAATAGTTTTATTTAGAAATGGACAATAACATGCAACTTTTTGAGTTCAGTCAGACAACTCACTTGTCTCTTATATGTTTATTAGAAGCAGCATATAGTTTGAGTTTGGCGTCTAGGCTCGGGCCTCATCACTCCACAGATTTACAAAGAACATTGAGTGATGATTAGATACTGTAACTATCCCCCCGAGCCTACAGGTGGAAGCAGGGGTGGTGGTGGGGCAGGCAAGCAGCAGCACGTGAACGCGTCAGCAATGTGACAGGGCAGCAGCATTAGCGAGGCAGAGGCAGGCAGATCGGGCAGATTAAAGTGGACCTATCATGCTATATTGGAAAAATATATTGTAGGGCCATACCTATACAAAACATGTCAGTGAAGTTTTTTGCTTAAAATACCAAACAGTTCACCCATTGTAGCCATGCCTCATACTGCTCAAACCCCTCTTTTGCAGCCCTGTTAGAGAAACACGGATTTCGGGTCCTTAGCTTGAAAAAAAAAAAGAGGAGGCGGAGCTAATGCCTGATCAGAATTCTAACGGAGATAAAGTTAAATTCTGCTGTGATAAAACGCCATCCTGTTCTAAACCACATCAAGGATTATTTCTGAAACAGTATGGAGCTCAAATGCTTTTTCTCTTGCAGGTTTATCACAAGGTGAGTTCCTTTGTTTATTTCCTGCTTTCTAAACACATGTGCTCTCCAGTACAGGTTAGCTCTGACTGTTAGCGAGGCTTGCTAATGTAAACAAACATGAGATCACGTCCAAAACACGCCAGGCATTTTTTTTTTGATAGCAATTTTCTGTGGGTCCGCTGCCGATTTGACGTCAGTTCGGATGGAATCTGTATCCGCTCGTTGTACCCCTGTTTTTTAGAGATTTGGCTACGGAGGAAAAGAGAGAGGGTTTCATTTTCTGACGCTGCGTGAGTTCCCCGACGCACCGGGGACACATATTTATGTATTAAGACATCACAAAGTGCATTTTGCATGATAGGTCCCCTTTAAATAGAGCAGCAAGTTTAGGAGATTGTGTTTGGTTGGTTGTAAGAGAGACGCGTCATGTGTTAATGTATCCTTGGTGCTCGAGTTGACTGCCTGAACTAAATCGCAGGCTTCGCCCCATTTGTGTTGAATATGGGAAACAGGAATGTTCAACGCAACAACAGTCCATTCTTAGATGCCTTTTTCTTCTAACTATTTTCAGGCTCCACTATCAGGTTCAGGTTATTTATTAGTGCCCGTAGGTAGATTTAGTTTGCAGATAAAAAGGCAAGGGATCCATCCTGACACACATTCTCCAAACAACACAGACAACCGACAAATCTTTATTATATGTAATTATATTATTACAAAATACTTTTTTTACCATGCCCCATTACATAAAAACACTGGTACAAACATGGGCGATGGAAGTTGATAAATAAATAAACATCCGTGTGATACTGCTACGAGTTAACCCTTTGTGCGATAGCTGCCGGTAAAAAGCTGTTTTTATACCGCCTTGTTCTACACTTTGGGACATCTAACCTCCTGAAGGTAGAAGCTTGAATTCTGAGTGCAGAGGGTGGGAGTCATCATTCAATATAGAGCTGGATAACCGCTGTAACTGCCTGAGGTTTATGAGGGTCTCCAGGTTTAGCTGTGGCTCACCAATCAGTCTGCTAGACCACTTCATGATCTGAGTACTCTTAGTGTCAAGTAACAAAATGTTGCTTATAGTACTGGCTATTCAAATAATATAACTAATATTAGGCTGAGGTGAAACCCATATCACAAACAGGTGTATTTTTAAACTTTGATTCCTTCCACTCTACAGTATTTCACTTTACATTAAGTTCTTCTTCTTTGCAAATGTACATAGTTTATGTATTTCTGCATTTCACTTGTACTATTTTTTTATGTTGTTTTTTTTCCGTCTCAAGCATATTGTATGTTGCACTGTTGTTTGAGCTTGGGACAACTAACTAGAGCTATTGTGGATATGACAATCTGTTTATGAGTGTGTTTTTTATCTGTAGCCGTGTTGATGCCCGCTTTGCCCAACGTTCAAAAGGTTTCCCAGCAGCTGTTCATTCCCCCCCCCCTCTCATGTATCACACTGTGTTGTTAATTATCTCCGCTCTTTACAGGGTGACTTTGTGAGAGATGTTTGACTCTCAGGTGCGAGACTGACATGTCCGTCTCATTTGAATTATTCCTGGATGTGGTTATTGAAGTGGGCCTGGTGTCTTTGGCTCAGCTTCACATTGTGGGGGTCAGAGGTCAAGGAGTCTACAGAGAGAGTGATGCCAAAGAAACCCTCCTGATGTTAATGTGGGCCGAACATCACTTCATCATTTATATAGACCTGACCTGAAGAGCAGACAGGAGGAAAATAAAAGACAATTTTGAAATGAATTTTCTTAAAGATGCCCTTTTTATACTTTTTGGGGTTTTCCCTTTCTTGTAGAGAATTATTATATTCTCGTGGGTACATAGTTTTATCTTGAGGCGGGGGTTTTCGCTCAGCTGATATCAGCTGCCTGTGAAGACTGAAGATGTGACCTTTTTAGTTTTTATTTCTTATACGAAAGGTTTTGTCCTGTGAGTAATAACCGTGTTTCTCCCTCCAGAGAACCGGTAGCTGGAGGGCGGGTAGAAATCCTGACGATAGAGGAAACATCCGGAAGAGACTTCATCATCGAACGAGAAGCCTCAAAGACTCAGTGCATTGAGAGAAACGTATGTTCAAAAACACAGCCCATCTTTAAGTGACTGTTCTGTTATGAGACAAAAGACCTCAAAGACAAATTGGAGAAAAAAGTTGGGCCTCTTTTGCTCAAAGTTTCAGGTAAAGTCACAACCTCAAAAGTCCTCAGAAAGTGTTAGTTCACTTCATACACAATTTAAAATTATTAAAGGGCATTTTATTATAATGTAAGATGATTGATTTCATTATCATTGTTATCAACAGATACTTTCATTTTGAAGGCAATAATGATGTTGTTGTTTTAACTAAATATTTATATATTTTTTAATAGTTCTAAATTGGTTTCATCTTTGCCTCTTGGGAATTAGTACTAACACAATAATGTAAAAAATGTAATTTAAGTATAAAAAGCAAGCATGTACTTTTTTTGGCTGAGGCCTCAATTACAATTAACTTATTACCATTTGAATTTTATCCGATTAAACCTTCAAACTAGATAGTGTTTAGTCAAGTCTACAACTCAGCATCTTTCTCTGTAGGATCGATAATGATGGAACATTTTAATAAAAGCGAGAACAACAATTATGGTACAAAAAATGTGTTTATTTACTAACAGTTTTGTAAACATTTGAGGTAAATTAACATTTACATCAACTTGTTCTTACAAAAGAATCATTCATACACAAGGCACTTCTCTTGTTTAAGACAGCATTGAGACAGGTTGCTGTGAGATGGTTTCCTCCTGACGAGCCGCAGAAATCTCGCTCTGCATGAAACGTAAGAGGAGAGAGTTTCCCAGGAGTCACGGGGAACGACGGGCCTTGAACACAACATCCAGTCAGGAGTCCCGTCTGTGAGAACAAACTGCGTGAACACAGAAAAACACCCCTCTGTTTATTCTCTCTCTCCCAATGTAGTTTTAATTTGTTATCTTCAGACTGATCTGAGTTTGAGATGAATACGTGTTTTTGTTAATACTGCCTTCTCTGTGAGGAGCCATTTTGTTTTAAGACATTTCTTCCGTTGGGGATCATGGAGATTGGCAGTTTTCTCGTCACACTCTCTCTCACGCCCTTTCTTTCTCTTTCTCTCTCTCTCTATACTACTACTACCAATACCAGCATCGTAGAACAGCAATTTTTCTTTTCCTAAATGTGCAAATCTTTATCAACTACCAAAATGTAAACTTTAGGGATCAAAAACAAATGCAGATAACAGTTTTTTTGTTGTCATTTTGAACAAGAAACATGGATTTGGAAAGGCTGCTTTTACTCATGCGCTGCGTCATTTCAGCAAGATGAGACATTATACCGATATGGGTACAGATACTCTTACACCATATAGTACCATCTTTTTGTAACCCCCGTCCCCAAAAATAATAAAAATTAAACAGCTGGTACCACTTTGCTCTTTCTCCAGTGTATTAACCTGTACCTTAACTTCAGGAAAAGTGTTTTTCCATAAAATGCACAAACATCTTAATACTTAATCGCTTTGTTTTGCCTTGTGAATGCAAAATGCCCGAGGAATTGACTTTTTACTTTAAATGTTGACCAAGAGGTGACTCACAGAGTGAAACAGTGGGTTAAGTTGTCTGGTGTTTGGGAGTGACCGCACAGTGACAGAGACACGACTGCTGCTCAAACTGTGGGTTTCTAAAGATCTCTGAATTAAGATGAACACAACAAAATAGAAGCTGTTATGGTCGACTGCGTTTGTATTTCTGACTACAACAAGTATGCAATTTCCGAGTAATATTAAATAAATAAAAATAGCACTTTTCAGAGTAAAACCAATGATGAAATGAGTGACGGTGAAACCCCCAAACTTGCTCTTAATATTTTGGTGTGATGATTAAAAGGGGGGAATGTTAAAATGTTAGTTTGAAGTCTTTTGTCTGAAAGAATAAGGACAATATTGTTTTTCTTTATATTAGATAATGGCTGCCATGAAGTTGTATAATATCTTAAAGATAGTTTGAAGGCAATATCTCTTTGTGCAGTTAGTAGAGAGATGCCTGAAGGCAACGCTGACAGAGGAAGGCTTTTGTAAACTAACAGCAATGTGGAAACGTTTCGATGTCTGTTATTGAGAATGTAGTGCTTGTAGTTACCCAGGTGCATTCTGGGAATCAAAGGGATTACTTTACCAGCAGGTTTGACCCATATCCCGTCCACAGTATGCTGAGGACTCTGGGAATACCACATCAGTCCATTGCTATCCATTTAATCTCAATTAAATATGTATTGTCTCTGCAGTGGATCATGGGTAAACCAAGCTAGCCAGCGTTGCCATGAGGATCTCTCGGTGAATCGGTGAGTTGTAGGGCTACATATGCTGGCATGCACAGGGGACACAACACATGTAATGTTTGCTGATGATATTTCTTGGTGCGTGGGCAAAAGACCTTCTAGGTCAGAGCCAAACGCTGGACCGGGCAGTCTGCTGCAGATTAAACTGTGAAACCAGAGGGAAATGAAGAACAAGCTTTATAAGCAAATTGTCTGGCGACACATGGAATAACTTATCTGTACAACAATGCCAGCGACCTGTGCCTCCTCCAGATAAAATAAAATTATCCAGTCATTGTTTTTGACAAATGATCATTTTCATTTGTAGTCCTTTGGGCTCAACAAAAAAGAAAGGAAAAAAGGAAATAGAGAAACTCCATGAGATCTCCCCCCCTCCAAACCAAACACGTTGGTGAGATGTGTCCATTTTGATGCAAAACTATGACATCACAATGTCTTTCGCTCCACCAATCCCTGTGAGCTGAGCCTTCTGACTTCATAAGCACTGCATGGTCACATTTGATGTGCATAAATTAAGACAATCCAAAAAAAAAAAACCTACTCTGCAACTCACCGATTGCACTAAATCAACGACTGCTGCTGCTGGTCAAGTCATTTCACATTAAACCTTTTTTCTGCTTCCCTGTCTTCTGTCACCTCGCCTTCTTTTGGTTTTCCGTTTTTTTTTTGCAGGTGTGGGATTTTTATCTCTGAGAATCACTGTATTTTGGGGGTTTGGAGGAAAAGGAGGGTTTCAGGGACATGAAAGGGAGGAGGAGGTTTAGATGGCCAGGTCACTCGGCCGGGCCCGGATGCTGCTGCTCTTGCTGGCCCGACTGAGCCGCCGGGGGTCTGTGACCATCACTGGGGGCTCGTGCATCTCCACAGTGGTGGTGGTGACGGACCCCTCCTCCTGATCGCTCCTTCCCCCCCCGCTCCAGCTGCCAGCGTTGGACACCGTGCCCTGGCTAATGCTGGAGGAGGAGGCGGCGGTGGGGTTGTGGATGTTGGATTTACTGGTGGTGTTGCTGGCTGGAGGAAGCAGAGCTGCGTCCACACTCTGCTGCTGCTCCTTGTCAATGGAGGAAGAGGAAGAGGAGGATGGGGAGGGGGACGTGGCCTTCATCTCCAGAGTCTGCTGCTCGGTGGCCAGGTTGGCCCAGTTCTGCTGCGCGGCCAGCGTGTGGTTGTTGTTGTTGCTGATGTAGTAGAGGGAGGAGGGGGAGGGCTCCTCCTGCTGGAGCTCCTCCATCTTGAACTCCTCCGCTGAGGGCACGGCCGCCGGACCCAAGAAGGCACCGCTGCCCCCCGTCACATCCGTGTAGTTGGGGGGGTAGCTTAGGCTGGAGGGGGCAGTTCTGGAGGCCGAGGGCAAACACTTGGGCTCGGCGATGTTGACGCTGCGCAGCGACTTTCGGTCGGGGGGCGACTCTTTCCTCATGCCCTGTTTAACTTTCTTCCATCCAAGGTGATAGATCTCTAACAAATTCAGCAAAAGAGACACGCAAGCCACCACAAGCATAAATATAATAAAAATAGTCTTTTCCGTGGGCCTGGATATGAAGCAGTCCACGGTGTTGGGGCAGGGCCAACGCGCACACTTGTACAGGGGCCTCAGCTGGAAGCCATAGAGGAAATACTGGCCCAAAATGAATCCCACTTCAAACAGGGTCTTGAAAATAATGTTGAACACATAAGTACGCAGCAACGCGCCTCTGATACGGATTTTTCCGTGCTCGTCCCTGATCGGCCGCTTCTCCTTCTTGCCGCCACCTCCCCCTCCCCCTCCCCCTCCTCCGTTTCTATAAAGGAGTTCTTTCTCCTCCTGAAACCGCTGTGCTTTGTGCGACTCGTCCTCCTTCTCTTTCCGCTTCTCCTCCATGCGGACGATGTGCAGCACATGGCCCAGGTAGATGAGGGTCGGCGTGGACACGAAGATGATCTGCAGCACCCAGAAGCGGATGTGCGAGATGGGGAAGGCCTCGTCGTAGCAGACGTTCTCGCAGCCGGGCTGCTGCGTGTTGCAGGTGAAGTCGGACTGCTCGTCGCCCCACACCTCCTCGGCCGCGGCCCCCAGCACCAGGATCCTGAAGATGAAGAGGACGGTCAGCCAGACTTTGCCGATGACCGTCGAGTGCTCCTGAGCGTTCTCCAGCAGCCGCCCCAGAAAGCTCCAGTCGCCCATGCTTCACGATTTCTAGCCTATGGAGAAAGTACAGGCTGGAGGTCAAAGAGAATGGGAAGGGTAGGAAAAGAAGAAATGAAGTTAAAAGAGATGTGTGTGAATCTACTCTCAAAGTTCAACTAAATATTAATCATCAAGGCCTTACCCCCGATCTACACATGTGGACACACACATAGACACATGGAGGACGGTGGAGGTGACGACTAAACTCCAACATGTTTCTCTTTTTCATAAAACGCTTAGCAGAACAAGGTCTTTATAGAAAAACTGCTACGTAGGCGTCGGATATCGATAACAAATCTAAACACAGCATTCACACACAGACGCTTTTTGGCAGCTATTTTACTGTATAGGCCAGCTGTTTGACCGAACCCTGGTTCACTCTCCCTTTCTCTCTCTCTCTCTCTCTCTCTCTCTCTCTCT